AAAAAAAGAAAAGTATTTAAAAAAAAAAAAAAAAAAAAGGATCAATCGAGATTCGATCGACCTCTCACATGTGAAGCGAGAGACATACCCCTAGACCACGGAATCGCTTTTACATAGAGTCAAGTATATGCAGAACTGAAGTCACATACATGTATATATTCATGTTCGGTATTCTCAAAATTTTACACAATCCATGGTGTTTGATTTATTTAGCCTTTATTAAACAGTTCTAATATATGTAATAAGAACATAAAGTACGCCGAGAACCTGTTTTATACGCAATAACTCTCCTCATGCCCCTGTGCTAAAAATAGCGACATGTAATACTATAAATAATAATAAAACAAACGGGGCGGGTGACTTTGAGAGGGGTGAGAGAGGTCCTAGGGAGTTTTGATATAAAATTATATTGCATAAGCTCAAAATGAGTGTTACACACAGACAGAATGTATAAATTTACGACCTTGAACTTTGACCTTTTGACCTCAAAATCAATAGGGTTCTTCATTAGGCCACAGGGATAGCTCAAATGGTTCTAGAGATATCGTGTTGAAACGAAAGTGATATAACAGACAGAATTTGCTTATTAATGACCTTGACCTTTGACCTTTTGACCTCAAAATCAATAGGGGTCTTCTTTAGTCCATAGGGAGTTGCTATGCTAAATTTCATTGCAAGAGCTCAAAGGGTTCTCGAGATATCGTGTGGAAACGAAAGTGTTACAGACAGACAGAAAGACGGACGGACAGATGGACGGACAAACCCAAATTAATATCCCCCAAAGCAGGGGACAATAAAAAGGTGAAAATATTGCGTGCAACTGCAATAAAAAAAATAAAATTATTGTACCTGGTAATTATTACTTTACGAAATAAATAAGAGGCCCACAAGTGGATATTACTTGCAGTGGCACCTTAATATATGTGCCTATAAGTTTTCAACACAACAAATTAAATTGTAAGGGTAAAGAAAAGTGAAGAGTAATTGAGAAAATACCAGTAACATTAAAATAAAAAGTAAGAGAATAACTATTTTCTCATTTGATTTTTTAATCCTTAACATGGTTCCTGCTGATGTACGGTAATTGTTGCATATGCAAATTCAGTTTAATAGACATACATTATTTAAAGTCATAAATTTTTTTTTTTTTAAACAATAAAATGACTGTTTGTCAATTTCAGATGCAGGCTTCTAAGGGTCGGGGTAGAGGGGTTTTAGCTCTTCTGAACTGTAAGACTCCATTAAGGAAACCCAAGGCCTTTCAGATTGAGACGAGTAGTGTTCACTGTGACATTGATACCATCACCTCCCCAGAAATCAAGTACACATCTTGTGAGTACAGGATGATGGTTACAATTCAAATAGAAGTCGATAGTTTAGAAAAATGATAACTATTTTACATGGTTTATGTATGAAATTGAATGTATTACTAAGCACTGATCAATGTCTTGTAAGCTATTAAGGCGTCTGGTATTTTTTTGTGGTTATATGTTAGATTTGTAGCGTTTAAGACAGTGGTTTGAAAAAATAGAATACACTTTGTTGGAAGGAATACATGTATAAGTTAACTTTTTAGCAAAATATAGACATGAATTTATGGAAATGCTCATTTTATTTGGTTATAGTTTTTAGCTCACCTGAGCCAAAGGCTCAAGTGAGCTTTTCTGATCAAAATTTGTCCGTTGTCTGTCGTTGTCGTCGTTGGCGTTGTCGTTGTTGTAAACTTTTCACATTTTCATCTTCTTCTCAAGAACCACTGGGCCAATTTCAACCAAACTTGCTACAAAGTATCCTTGGGTAAAGGGGATTCAAGTTTCTTCAAATGAAGGGCCAAGCCCTTTTCCAAGGGGAGATAATTATGAATTAGAGAAAAATTAATGACATTTTAAAAAAATCTTCTTCTCAACAACCACTGGTCCCAGAAAGATGAAACTCATGTGGAATCATCCTCAGGTAGTGTAGATTCAAGTTTGTTCAAATCATGACCCCTGGGGGTAGGGTGGGGCCAAAATGGCCGATCAAATTTTTACATAGGAATATATAGGAAAAATCTTTAAAAATCTTCTTCTCAAGAACCACTGGGCCAGGAAAGATTAAACTCATATGGAATCATCCTCAGGTAGTGTAGATTCAAGTTTGTTCAAATCATGACCCCCAGGGGTAGGGTGGGGCCAAAACGGCCGATAAAAGTTTTACATAGGAATATATAGGAAAAATCTTTAAAAATCTTCTTCTCAAGAACCACTAGACCAGGAAAGATGAAACTCATGTGAAATCTTCTTCAGGTAGTGTAGATTCAAGATTGTTCAAATCATGACCCCCTGGGTTAGGGTGGGGCCAAAATGGCCGATCAAAGTTTTACATAGGAATATATAGGGAAAATCTTTAAAAATCTTCTTCTCAAGAATCACTGGACCAGGAAAGATGAAACTCATGTGGAATCATCCCCAGGTAGTGTAGATTCAAGTTTGTTCAAATCATGACCCCCTGGGGGTAGAGTGGGGCCAAATGGCCGATAAAAGTTTTACATTGGAATATCTATGGAAACCTTTAAAAATCTTCTTTTCAAGTATTCTAAAGCCATGCTTAGTGATATTTATAGGGAATAATCCTCAGGTAGTGTAGATTAAAGTTTGTTCAAATCGTGAACCCCTGGGTTAAAATTCAAGCCCCCCCCCCCCCCCCCCACCACCGACCTCAGTGAACTTTCAGATTCTGATATGATGTGTGCTTTTTCCTAGCCAATTGCTCAGGTGAGCGATGTGGCCCCTGGACCTCTTGTTATATACGTCATAACTTGTATTAATTGTTTTACAGCGTGGGCAGATTGTGAGACAGACACTGGGGAGGGATTTAGGGAGGGACAGAGCCTGATGGTCAAATTCACCTACAACGCTAATCAGGATACCCCATTAGACGAACCTGAATTGTCCGTCAGACAGAAAGACGATGTCATCTTCATCAAGTACAACCCACAGAACAAGATGTGGTGTAAAGTACGATTAGGGAGAAATGAAGGTTATGTCCCCTCGTCATACCTCATTGTGAGTATTAAACAAATGAAGTTTTGATTTTAAAAAGTTGTGTGAATTTTATATTTTTTTCTGCAACAGCTGCAACATTAATTTCCAAACTAGCAAAGACATGTGTTTACACCATCAAATAGTGGTTCCCAACAAAAATATTTATGATTATGTAAAGGTTGCTAAATGGTGAATATTTATTGCAAGTGAATAAAAGTTGGTTTACAGTAAATTCACAGTTTCTGTAATTTTGATTGCTTCTGATTTGTTTAGATAATAATTTTTTAAAAAAGAAATATTGCAAACTTTAAGCTTTTACGGTACTGCATTAAGACTCTTACCATAAGGATTGTTTATCTAAAGAATCTATTAAATGTTCTGATGCCACAAATGTGAAGTATAAGGAGATTGGTTTATTTTATTTTTATTTTTTTTATTCAGTCTACAGAACAAAATGACAGATTGCCATGGCTGAAAGCCCCTGCTGCTATACCACAAGAAAAAGGTGAGTTTTATTTTGCATCTAATATATTTTCTTTTATTTTTAACTAAGGATGCACATTACCAACTTGCTTTGTATGCTGCATTTGACCATTTTCTGGGTGAGTGACCAGGCCAAAGTTCCTAGATCAGGTCTCATTTCAAGTACATGTAGCTGTAAGTCGTGTACTGATCAAACTTGCATGAAAGACACATCTAAGGCTGTATACTATATGACTTGCTACGGATTCATAATCTGACACATTTTCCGGGGTACCTGTGAAAGATTTGGAAACAGGTTCATACTAAAATAATTATATGCTCTTTGTTGATCAAACTTTCTTGGATGACACATTAGGATGCACACTGCCAGGCTTGTTTCGGATGCTGGATCTGACCTACATTTTGTGAATAAGTGCATGAGAAGTAACCAGGTGTAATGTTTTTAGAGCTGGTTTCCTTTCCAAGTAACTATAAGCCCTGTTGAGCAAACTTTTGAGGATGATACATCTAACTTAAGGATGCATGCTTGGTGCTGAATTAGATATTTATTATCCAGATGAGTGACCAGTTGACAATTTTGGGAACAGTTTCTTTGTAAAGTGACTATAAGCCGTATGCTAACCAGATATGTGGATGTTTGATGCTCAGTTAATACTTGGTTTTTCACCATCTGTGCCATAACAGTATTGTAAATTGTAATGTTGATTATTCTGATATTTTGACAGTTGAATACAAGCCATATAAATCAGCTTATGCTAGAGAGACCCCTAAAGAGACAGAGCCTGCCACCAGTTACAGATGTGATGTCTGCTGTAAAGACTTCAATGGACCTCAACCATATACAATGCATATGAAAAGCAAGGCCCACAAAGAGGAAGTAGAGGCCCAAGAAGGGTATTAAAATATGTGAAGGGGACCCAGAAAGGGTAGATAAGAAGTTAAGAATTATGAGATTATATTTTGAACAAGACATATCAAGAAAAATATCTCAGGTTGATTTTGCTGTGGTTCTCAGGTTATGACCAAGTAATGCTAATGATATTGTAGGAGCAACATGAACTAAGCAAATTCTTTTACAATTTAGTTTTGTTATGTACGATTTTTGCTTTTCATTTTGTCTGTACTGAATAGGAAGAAAATTTACAAAAGTAACAATAAGCAGTAAAAGAAATTCTACTTTTTTATACCCCTTGCTTTTCAAGTGAAGTGTCTGTACATCTGTAATGTTTTGGGGTGGCCATCCCTTATCTGCATATTTCCCTATTTTACTGATTTAGTGAGACTTTCATTCATCTTTGTTATTGTTCACCTATTTTTTGCTTTTCAATTAGACATATATTGTGGGCTTCCCATAACAAAAAAGGACACTGCCATTCTTTCTCCGATATTGGAGTAGTCACCCCTTATGTGAAATATTTCAAAACTTTTAGGAATGTTTCATATTTCTCATAAAAGTAAGTGATCTCCTTTTATTCCTATTATATAAATTGATGGGTTTGGAAATTAAACTTGAATATTTTTTTAAACGATTTTTTATATTTGTTGAACATGTTCGTTCTTAAAGAGTTGTAATGAATATGACTATGTTAAATTTTGTATACACTAGAATAACATCTAACTGTTTAGAGAAATACCTGGGTAAGATATGTATTAGAAAGCTTTGTGAATATTTCTAGTCAAGAATTTATGGTTATATACTGTTACCGAGTACCTGGTAGCTACTGAGTCTTTTTCAATTCCATGGAATCTGCATGCTTGTTCAAATGTGGCTCTGTGATTATTCAGTAGTTGGGAAAATATTTGGAGTATGACTATCTTCAACTATCTTCAACACATCTCTCATATTCTCATATAAACAAGGAGCACAGTATTAAAGATAGTAAATGTAATTAAAAGGTGTGAAAATTGATATGTGTGATGAAATTGAAGGGGATATTTAGTAGGCCAGTTATTGAAAGATAATTTCATAAATGAAATTTTTATAATTTATCATGAAGTTTGTCAGAGTGTGTATAAATAGGGCCATTGTTCAGGGTAGAAATTCTGATCTTTTTTTGTCTCCATAGTACATGTAATAGTGCTGTAGATCAACCACATGTATTAGAAAAATTAATCAGTATACTACAGAGCTCCCATCTCATACAATTTTGGAGCAAGACTTATGGTTTAAGTATCTGAAATATGCCTTACAATTTATCGTTTTATCCTTATGATCTCCCTTATGTTCATTTAAAGTTTGAAATAACAAAATATTTTCATATCTGTCCAGTTTCTGTTTTCATTATTAGTGTATAAAATCATAGTCCTTACAGTGCTTACTTGTATTTTTGTTTGTTTGTTTTTTTTCGTGAACGTGCCACCTAAGTCATTGCAGACAGTCAATTGCTAATAAAGTTGAGCATCCCCTTGCAAAGAACATATGTATAAATCAAGACAGCATTTGACACGAATCCCGATGCAAATTACATCATTTTTGTTTCTCTTAATTTAGGTGTTAGGGGATGATAAGTGTATGTAATATTAAAATGAACAAAATGGAAAAATATTGAGGAAGGGGGGCTACATTATTTCTTACAAGTCTTAATATTAAGAGGACAGCTCTGTATGCAGGCTCTGAAAACAAACCTATTATTATACCCCCCGCAAACAAAGTTTAGGGGGGGTATATTGGAATCACCATGTCCGTCTGTCTGTCCGTCCGTCCGTCTGTCCGTCTGTCTGTAGACGAGATTTTGTCCGGACCATTACTCAGAAACTATTGGAAGCATTTGTCTGAAAATTTGTACACATATTATTCACCATATGAAGTTGTGCACCTGATATTTTCATCTTGATTCGATTATTATTTTGAATTTTACAGGTGTTTTTTCATTTTTATTTTGTGGTTTTGTCCGGACAGTTTCTCAGAAACTATTGCAAGGATTAATCTGAAAATTTGTACACTTATTATTCACCATATGAAGGTGTGCACATGGAATTTTCAACTCTTTTTGTTCATTTTTTTGCATTTTACAGGTTTTATTTTTTATTTTAATTGACTTGACCATTTTGGGCTCATGTATGAGGTTTGAGACATAGAATCTAGAATATCTGTACAAAAATAGTACAGCTTAAAACTACTCATTAAAACTTTTTAAAAAATCAAGTATTAAAAACAGTTTTTACATTGCACAGAAGATAATGTAATTTCATTTGTCTCTTGGGAATAATGACTGGACATGCATCCAGTTAAAGATAAATTAATGAGTTTGGTGTGGGAAGTTGAACATTAAGGCATCTCATTATCAACCTCCTGGGAATAGAGCAGCACAAGAATTAAAGATCTCTCTTCTCTTATTCTCTTAATTGTAATTTATTGTCTGTCAAAGCACTTCATTACTGGATGACCAGCTCCTTATTTTCAAAATGAATTTGATAAAAAGTTATCAAGATTAATTTGATTTGTATATTATGATTTTTTTTTCAACAATTAGTTTGCAGAGTGACATAACACATAATTGCAATATATTTTTTTAATGCAGAAATAAAAAAATAAAATAAAAAATAAAAAAAAAATAATGTTACAATGAAATTACAATGTATTAGTATTGATGTTTCATTTGGTTGCACCTTTGTTTCATTCATTAAGAATTAGTAACATGATGAGCAATTGTATTATTTCACTGCAGATTTTTGTAAGTAAATTGTGAGCACCTCTAGATCCATAAAGTAATTTTGAATTGACACCTTCTCTGAAAAACCCAGCGGGGGGTATTTGTCCCTATTGGACAGTTCTAGTTAAATATTATAAACAGTAATGTGTTCATATTTCAAACAAGGACAGATCTGTCTCTGATGTTATCATGACATTCCAAAGACACATATCATTACTTACCATACTCCTTATCATTTTCATACTCTGAAAATAATTTCATTCATTTTATGGTCTTATGTTGTCCTTCATTCCAATATTTTTTTTAGTACCCTCACATTTTTACAATGATGATGTTCACATTCAAAGGCCTTCTGAATCAGTAGTTTAGCAACAAAGATGTTGTCTTGTTTTGGTGTAATATTGTACATGTACAATTATCATTTATCAACATTTATTGTTTTTTCAAAGAGGTATGATGCTTCAAGCCTAGGACCTCGAATTCCATGTCTTCTTCATCAATGTGATTTGATGTGAAAATAGCCTCCACAGTTATGTTACATGAAGTACATAACTTTAGACTTATTTAGACAAATGATTTAACTACTTTTGTGAAGAGTACTATTCTTTAGCTGATTTTTAGAATGATCTCTTGAAACAAAATTTAGTTCCATTCAATACATGTATTTCCTAAAAATTCTTAATTTTTTTGTATTTTATGGAATGATATTTTTTTGTTGTTAGCTACATCAGACTTGGTAGATTATGAATCACGCAAACAGTTTTGAAATGTGTCTATCTATGTTACGATATAGAACATTCCAACCATGTTATCATTGAATTCAATGGAAGTAAATGTATAGACATTTGTACTAATCTTTTATTCATTATACTGAAAGATGAAAATTTGAATCATTTCTTTTTGTTTGTAGCAAAATGTTTCTTTGAGGAATACTCTGAATTATTTTTACATGATAAGCATGTAATACTTTTGTTTGTTCCATTTTTAAGTAGTATACAAGTTTGTATATTTTTTAATTTCAATAGCGCATTTTGTTGTGGAATAGATTAAAAAAGAAAGTACATTTTCAGTTAAGAAATTTTCTAATAAATTTCATAAAATTCATTTTAGATACTTTTATGTTTGATTGATTGATTAATAGTATTTTAACACCAAAGGTACTTTCATGAAAATTAAGAATTTTTTAAAGCGATATCATATATTCTTAAACACAATCTTAACAAAGATCTTACTGTGGGAATATTGCCTGGTACATGTATCTTAACAGGTACAAAGATGTGCAAACTGAAGTGGTAAAATATTTATTTGAAGGAAACATTCGCTTTTTTTTCATAGAGCGCCATTTGTTACACGAAGACGCACCAATTTCTCAGCAATATATGTCGCAATGTTTTAGGACACCCTACTATCTGTGTCCTACACATATGTGAGAGTTGAAGACTTTTTCCCTTCTGTAAATTTCACATATTGAAATGAATATGTAGTTATTAGCTCACTTGAGCTTTAGGCTTATGAGAGCTTTTCTGATCAATATTTTGTCCATTGTCTATTGTTGTCAGCGTTTTACATTTTCGTCTTCTCTTCCAGAATCACTGTGTCAAATTGAACAAAACTTTGCACAGAGTATCTTTGTGTAAAGGAGATTTAAGTTTGTTTAAATGAAGGGCATTTTCTCTTCCTAGGTGGAAATAGTCAAGTAGCAGTGAAAATTTGGTGGTATCTTCTCAAAGACCATTGAGCGAAATATGTTGAAAGTTATATGAAAACCTTCCTCTTATAGTGTAGGGATTTGTTCAATTCATGACCCCTAAAACTGCAATTTGTCAAAATTCTAGTACCTTGATGCACACTTATACTGCACATTGAACTTAACTCACTTTGGCAAAACTTTAACCTTGTCCATATCTTTTTAACAGTTTGTAACTAGGTTTCATACTTTAATACATCACTTACAAGAACTTTCCTTTGGTTTCCAAAACTGTCTTACATTTTACGCAGTTTACAAATCATCATTCGAAATCTAATTGTCCTGATTCAAAGTTTACCATCAGTCTAAAGTTTTCTGAATATGGGACTTTAAAGCTTAAGATTATATTTCAATAAATATAATTATGCATGGAACTTTAGTGATAATGAAAGTTAAAAATCCTTTGTATCTAGAAGTCATTGGTCTTGTGTAGCATCGACCTATTTTTCTTTAGCTTTGTGTATAAAACATGACTGTAACAGATTCTATTTTTTAAATGCAAAATCGTGATTTGTCACTTTCATGCAAGCTTTAAAAAGTCATTTTTGAATCACATTGCAAATTGACAAAGAAGTGTCAGATATACGTATTGTTTTTTCATTTTTTAAAGGCCCATCTAATGAGATACTGACCTTGAATACAAAGTTTCGTGACAGTCTTTAAATCTCTAAATGAAAAAAAAATGCTGGATCTTTAAAACATTGTAAAGATGTCTCAGAAAAGACAAATTGAAATTATTTTCTTTAAACAAAAACGCATTTTTAAATACTTTTTCTATTGTTCCTGAGTTGCGGGCTTATTGACCGCAGTGATGGAAGGGATGTTGGTCTTTTTTCAATTTAATTTTATATGTTTTTTATATATTTATTCATGAAATTAAAAAATATATATATAGTAAAACGAAACACTTTATTAGAGAATCTCTGTTTTATAAAGACGGAACAGTAATTTTCTTTCACGAAATGTTATTTGAAAAAAAAAAAAAGTTTGTGATTTCACTTTTGCTCTCAACTTCACACATGCGCACAGAACTAAAAGGAGGGGAGGGGGGGGGGGGGGTCCGAACACCCTAGAATTTTCAAAGTTAAAAGCTTATATGTAAAATTGTCATATTAAGTAAATTGATACCCCTCGGGAATCACATTTTTTTCTTAAATTGGTTAGCAGATTCGTGTATATAAAGAAAATAGACTCAAGAAATTGCACTTTGTCCTGTGTTTAAGCCGATGTGAATCCCTACCACCACCTGCACTGAAAAAAAAATAATACTTGGTCTGCATATATGTGTATTTACTGTAAAAAACAGCATTAATATATGAAAGGTTC